TCAGAAAATTTTGAATAACATAAACAATACAATAATGCAATGTATTATATAGAGATACAAATAAAACCTGTTAAAATAAATTATTCATAAAAATCTGAAGCTGACTTTGTTTCTTAACAACTTCGACATGATTTTACCCTTTCATGAAAACAAATTATTTGCTTTTAATATTAAATTTTCTTTGACTGTGACTATAAAATCCCATTGACTTTCATTGTTATACCCTCTTTTAAACATATTATTTTTAATACACGCTTTATTATTGGTTGAAATACTATAATATTAGAAAAGATAGTCACTGTATGATAAGTGGAACTAATCATAAATTATGATTTGTCATAAATTTTAATCAATAGTGAAAAGTGTGCTCAAATTTCTAATTGTATTGTTTGTTTACACGATGATAACGTATTGCTGTGTTTTTTTATTTTCAACTAACATCCATTTGTGATTTGATAAGTTTAAGATACATTAATGATTGTGTCATTGTGTTGAATTATTTTGTTATGTAATAAAGGTCAAACATAGGAGAAGAGAAGAAGAATCACTTAACTAAAGATATTGAATTTTTCCTTAGTAGTGATATTAAATTGGTCAAACATTAAAATACATGCTTAATTGGAGATATTGTCATCTATCTTTTAAATAGAGACTTTGTGATGTGGTAAATACAAAATTATATTAAAAAATAATATTTCTCAATAAATATGCAAGTGTCAAACTTATATTAAATTTGTGCAATGGCAAAAACTAAAGCTATGATGGCTTTTAGATAGCTTGAGTTCCAATGCACTTTGATGAAGAAGAAACTAACTAGAGTTGTCTCCAGATGAAACCCTAGTATCATTAAACAGTTTTCTTGTTCCCTCACAACAAAACCCTTTTCTATTCAATTTATTAGAAGTCAAAAGTTGTGTCAGCATATTTAAAGAATTTAACTATCTACCAATATAGTAATCTTTTATTGGTTAATTACATAAACTTTTGATCATAACTATGTTGCAAATTATACTTAATTAAAAGAAAAGGAGAGAGAGTAGAGTGGGTTTACAAGTATGAATTGTTGAGAGAAGGCAATTAATTAGGGATGAAAAAAAAAGGTTGATTTTGGTCCGAATAAGAAACATAGATACTATGATACTTGTGTTTTATTTGAATTGTGTGTTTGGGTTGGGTGGTTGGAGCAACACATAAACTGAATGGAGTGGGGTTATATCCCATGTGCCGCCATATGATCCCGAATTTTCTGTTCCTCGTTTCGGGGCTTATTTCCTCTCCTTTTCCATTTCTTTATCACTCTCTCTCCCCTCTCTCACCCGCATCCACTTCACATCTTCTCCACGCGCCACACAAATAAACAAGATTAATGAAATTTAAAATGTCTCTATAAACATGACTTTTATTTTCTTATATTTTTTTTATAATTTTATCAACCTATTATATAATTTTTCAAATATAACTTGTAATATAATTATTGTGAAAACAAATAATTTGTGATGATATAGCAATCCTTGATGGGTTGATAATGTAAAAAATATTTGACTACAAATATACTTTAATTAAATCCATAAAACATTATTTACTGCTATTTTAATTATCATTATTCCATTAAATATTTGACATATTCAAAAAAATTAAACAACCTATCAATATACACTAAAATTTCATAAGAGCTTAATAGGTATATATTTAAGTTCAATTTTGTTTTAAACATATAACCAATCATAAATAAATAAATTACTGTATAAAACATCTAAGTGATTAATATAAAGATTACGTGTACTTAAAAAAATATTTTATTCAAAATTATTAATTAAAAAAATTACAACAATAAAATCATATATAACCAAAATCAATATTAATTAAAAACTCAACCATTTACTATCTAATTAATGGTTTTTCATTTTATTTTATCTGTTAAAGTGGTTTTTTTATTTATTTTACAAGGGTTATATCCACATTTTTAATAACTAATAAAAATGTAACAAGTTTCACATCGATGAGGTCTCCTTACTAGGAAGACCTTATAAGATGAAAAATTCTCCAATATTTGGGTTAACTTTTGAGAGATGGTTCTCCTCCTTAGTCTGTTACATTGGTATTTTCATTGAGAGTCAGTCAATTCAAGAAAGACCTCCTACGGAGGGTTCTGGACGTTGGCTTGTAACAAGTCACACCTCTGAGAGGTCTCCTTACCAAGTGAAGTTTAGTTTGGTATTTTTGAAATGTATTATTTTAACATCCCTGGCTTGTAACAAGTCACACCTCTGAGAGGTCTCCTTACCAAGTGAAGTTTAGTTTGGTATTTTTGAAATGTATTATTTTAACATTTGGTGTTGTTATCTTAATGGTTAAAACCATGTAAAAGTTTCAAATCAGTGGTAAGAAGTAAACTTCATATTCCAAATATTATAAATTTTTAAGAAAATATATATTCAGGAGAATTGAAAAAAAAAATGTTAGAAAAACAATATAAAGAAAACATAAATCTATGAAACTTTACAATTAGAAACAAACCAAAAAATCAACAGAGAATTCATGTGTGAACTCATCTTATATTTAATTTAAAAAATAGTTGAGGATTATTATGATATTTAATTGATTAAAATTATTATTTTCTACATTAATTAATTAAATTTTTATTTTTATTAATTTATATCTGAGATTGATTGATTATGTTGTTTTTCTTCACATGACTTTACTAGTTCAAAATATTTACTTTTATTTTTATTTATAATAATATTATATTTGTAATTGTTGAAAAAATAATTATAAATTAATTGATTCCAAGTATAAAATATAATATTGATAGTGTTGCTTAAAGATGATAATGTGAGTTAGATTATAAATTCGGAGAATACAGGATGGGTTAGAGAATTTCAACCTATAGGTGGATTAACCCGCATTATTTTTCTAAAGTATTTAGATTAATAAGTTTTTTACATATTCTCATATTGTTCTTCTATTTACTTTCAATTTCTTTTTATTTTTATTTATTTTTAGTGTTTAAGTTTATTTAGTATATTATTATTTATTAATGTTAGGTTGTCATTAGTGATAAAGTTCTTTTTTTTAATTTGATTAAAAAATAACATTGGGATTAAAGAGGATTATATCATGACCAAGGTCTCATACTTAATTCTTCGAATAAATATTGAAGATAAGTAAAAATAAATAAAATTAATGACTAAATTCATTAAATAAAAAAAGGAAAATGACATATTTAATTAAAATTTATAATTATTTAATTTTTTTATTGAAAAAGATTATTATTGTATTTTATTTAAATTCGTATGAATTGAAATTCTGCATAATTAATTTGATAAAATATATGTCTATTATATAATATATATTTTTTATTAATTATTATTCTAATAAATATAATTCGCAACTATCAAAGATGGGTGAAGTTTTCAACCTGTAAAACCGTTCCATTTTCTAGGCTAAAGTAATGAAGAGAGACCCTGTATTCACGTCCTAAGCTGCTGCATTTATATTTACTATCGGAAAAACAATATTTTAGAAAATATATTTTGTTTTTTATTAAAATTTGCATAAGCCCATCTATATTAATTTTTTTCTTAAACTTATAGCTTTGTCGATGGAAGAAAAATCTACTAGTACTGTTGTTGTTCAAATTAAAAAAAAAAGAACTATATTGTAATATTTTTATAATTGATGATAAAAGTTTAAAAACATATAATTGAAAACTATTTTGTATATTAGGTGGATTAGTTTGAATACATAACTAGTTATTGTGAATTAATTAGTTTTTTTATTTTATTACTAGAAGGAGATTGTTTTATATAATTCATAATAAATAGGTTTGTTTAAATTTTGTTTTTGTTAACCTATCTAAATACAAAACCAAATTGATAACAATAATATCAATTATTGAAGTTTTGGGTTAGAAAAGTAAAAATGAAGTCTTGATAAGTTCTATTATGCATAGCTTCACATAATGAGATTTCATGATCCCTATTTATGAAATATTTTCTCTAACCATTTTGTAATCCCTTTTTTGAAAATGTGGTTTTTCTTTCGATTTTTACATCAAATAGTTGCTGCATTATATTAAACAAAAATTCAAAAGTTTAATTTTATGAGTATAATAATTGATTTGTAATTAACAGAGATTAAAATAACATGATAGAGTAAAAGGATGAATTAGCCCACTTAATTCCTTTGTTAACTTTTGTTTGGAGGGCATCTGATGTTTGAAAATGGCTTGAAGCATTGAGAAAGATGAGAAAATTTTCCAAAAGCTGGTTGGATTTGATTCGTTCATTTTTTGTCCGTTAATCATGAATTGATTTGCTTTAATAAACTAATCATTTGGCCGGCGTAGGTTATCGAACAGTGAACGGAACTTAGCCAGTAGCGCGTGGAGTGGGGAAAAACTGGACAGATCTAGAGGTGGGCCCAGGGTGTGCCCCCCGCAAATGTTACAGCCACCGTTAGATCCGGAAAGGTGCATCATAGCCGCATAAATATTAAATGGCATTTTACGCCACTAAAAAGAAACCTTTACACAGGTTTGTTGATTATAATCATTATATTTTAGGGGTCTAATCTCTGATGGGATCAAATTAGTCAGCTTTTTAATTAGGGTTCAGTAATGTGTAGTCTCTTGAGCCAGATATTCTTCTAGGGATTGATGGAGAAAGAAATTAAATTAAAATAAAAAAGTTCATAAAAACTCCTAAATTCTCCTATAAATACCACTCCATCTCCTCCCCTACACCTACATCTTTCTCTCTCTTAGCTTGGCCTCGCCTATTCTATTCTGGACCTCTCTCTCTCTTCTCTTCATTAGGGTTCTGATTATGTTATGAACCTACCTTCCATGCTTCTTCCATTTTTCTTTTTCAAAAAAAAAAAAAAAAAAAGAAAAACTTTCTATATGGGCTTGTGGGGCATCTTCAGTCTTCAATATCATGGCCCTCTTTGTATTCTTCCACAGCTTTCTTGAACTGCATCCATAGAGTTCCTTTGCATGCATGCCATGGCACTCTTGCTCCCACACCTTGTTTTGCGGTTCAATAAAGCTGTGGGAAGATACAGATAGGGTCAACAAAGAACTAACTTATCTCCAACTCCAGATTCTCCCTAAAGCTTTTATCCAGTTATATATATTATATTTATAGATAGGGATAAAATTATTGTGATGTATTTATTTTTCCTTTTTCTTGTGTTTTGACTTGATTTAAATCTTTTTCAGATTTAAAGCATTGACTTTTCAGATATATACTCTATTATGTGATCAGAATTCTCAGATGCAGCATTGTGAGAGAATAAACCTCTACCAATTGGGTAGATTTGTGACGATGATAGATACCCCAACAACCTGGCTTCTTTTCCCGGAATCAAACCGATCAGGTATTGATTCGATCGATCCAAAATCAAGGGAATTTCAGCTAACGATTTTGATAGATGCGGAATCACTATCCAGACTTTGTTTCCAGATCTTATAATATAATTAATTTGTTCAACTCCGTTATATTTGTTTGCCTTAAATTCATGCCCCTATTTAATTTCCTCTTAATTAATTTTGTCGAGCCATCCCATCCCAGGGTTCAACTTGAGTTCTAGGAACATCCATTCCGAGATGGTGGTGGTTAATTTGCACATCAACATTATTGATCTGTGACAGGCGTAGCCGTTTGATTTGAAAATATTTTTCTTTCTTTTGTGCGTTGAAGCTAATCAGTGCTATCTGTTTTGAATATAATGATTATAATAGTTTCACCTGACTTGCGCTCACTCACTCACTCACCTTATTAGCCTTTTTCTTTTGTTTTGAAATGGTGTATGGTGTAGCCTCCACTGCAGGCAAAAGTTACAAGTTACAGTGGAGGAATGGCCATCATTAAGATTTATCTATAGATCATGTCTAACTCAATTCATTAAACCTTTGATCTGTACTTGTACTGTTTCAGTGGGCAAAGTCACAGAGGGTTGAGTAATTTAATATATATTCCAGGCTGCAGATTCAGCATAAGCACAAGTTAGTATGCATTAATTAATGAGGATTATTGTTACTTATATTATATTAGCAAGCTAGGAACAATTATACGGTTCTTATCTTAACTAACAAAAATAAAAGAGAGTGTATATCTAGATTCATCCTAGCTTGCTAGATCAGGATATTCTTTTTAAAAAAATATCTGCAAGTCACAACAAACATTTTTTGTTTTGGGTGCACGGGACTAACTAGAAGGAACATTTTCAGTTACAGATTGTTAGACAATGGACCACAGGGAGGTGACCATACTGCCTTTATCTCTCGTATGAAACTTCCAACAACTTATGAATGCTTTAAAGCCATTGGTTGGTGACCCTAGCAAGAGGTTAGATGAAGCTTTTATGGAAAAGATTAACCATAAGAATTCTCAAAAATTAACCTCCACCACTGCATTATGGTGATTCTTGCTATAGAACCAGCAAAGCTACCTAAAACCAATGCAGAAGGAGCTTGTGAAAGAAACTAGGGTTTTCTTTTTCCCAATTAAGTTAGGGACAACCATGCTGCGGGAAATGGGAATTTTAGACCACCTGCGAGTACTGTTTCTTTCTTTATCTTGCTTCCTAGTGCTGAGAATCAGTTCAAATGAGACTCCCTTTTGTTTCTCCCGAAAGATTTTGAAATTAGAAACGGCAAAAGCAATTTCAAGTTATAGATAAAGCAATCGATCTTGCATGGCCTAGAAAAAGAAGTGGCCGATCCCGATAATAATATCAATTTTCCACAAGGGGTTATTTTTTTTTTTTCCTTCATTCTGTGTCTCACTATTAAATCCGACAAAATGGTGAGCTTCAGCGCCATCAACTTTGCTAGGACTTTTAGTTGGTGCATTCACGAGCACTATGACTCCATCCAATAAAAAAGTCCGATTGTTATTTTTTATTTTTTATTTTTCCTTTTTCAAAAGACAGTGTAAAAGTTATATGAGCATGCCACTTTATTTGCAAAATCTATATCCTAATCCTACTGTAACCCACTAATCTAACATACATATTCTAACTTGTTCCTCATTCCATGGCTTTGTTTGTTTGTTTTGTTGTTTTTTAAGTGGATGATAAATAACTTTAAACTGATTGAACATGATGTCCTGCTTTTGCTTGTTTGGATCTATACTGTTCTTAAAATATGCCTTTTCACTCATGGTTATCCCCGCTATTATTTCCTTTAATTTAATCAATTGTGATGGAGCTGATGCGTTGTCGTCGAATGATGTGGATTGTGGGATTTGTTTGTCTGATTTAATTACGCTTCACTAGCTAGTTTTTACATTGGAGAAAGTTTAAACTGAAAAAGTTAGATTTCATTGTGCTCCGTGATGTGCAAGAGTGGAAGATCGGTGAAGAGAGTTAAACGACAGAGAGGCAATAAACTAATAGACAATCCTCTTGATCTTGCTGTCTTAGCAGTGCCACTTTTGTCTTGTGGCTAACAACTATCAAATTTTAAAATTTTAAAAACTTGTAGCCCTTGATGAGCTTTTAGCGTATCACCTTGCATTCATCCATCCAGCTATTTGGATTTTAACTCCCAGCAACCCCCCAAATAATGTTATGTATGTTATCATCATCAATTCCTTCTTCTTGCCAACATTTCTTTATCAGGGATCGAGCATTTACGAAGTGTATATGCAGTCACAGTTAATAAATCTTAATTTCTTCCACACTCATTAAATATTTAGTCCTTTTCTTTTGGCAACATTTCCAATCCTTTCCCCTTATATATATCTCCGGAAACGAATGGAAAGAAAGAATGTAAGAAATTAATAGGCGTGTGTGAGTTTAAATGCACATAGAGCCTGAGGCATAATACACAAGTTGAAACTTATACTTGTGTATAATCATCATGATTGTTCTGTCCATTTGTACGATTTCTAATTTCCCATCATGGGTCAACATAGTTTCCTTTTATTGTTATTTTGGCACTTTCACATCAGAAAGGGGGAAAGTGTTATTATATTTTCATTGGGCGTCCTCTATATTTTGTATGGTGGCTCATCACCAAGTTACAGTTACTTACGTCAAAAGCATACCCTACCATTGATGGTGGGCGTGAACGGTTATTGTTGCAATTTCATTACTCATTTATTCATGCCACCGTAAATAACACTCATTTCTTCAATCTTCTTTCACGGGGCGTGTAATGTGAATACAGAGCCAATTCTAACGGATCCTGCCGACATTATGCTTAATATGACAATCCTACATATATACTTGGTCGCAACCCGTTTTATCTTGTAAAGAATATGAGGCTCACAATGGATCCACACCATCATAAACAACACAAAAATATCCAATGCACCATGCTCTTTGTTGGTTGTAGATAGGGCTACTTGTCAATGGATGAATATGGCTTCAGAAGTGGATGTCAATTTCCTCAAAAACTCTTGCTCCAATTAGTACAGTGGACATGGTTTCATACAACACTTTACCCTTGCTTAATTGGTGCTACCTACTTTTGCACTTGAAATTCAACCATGTAAACGTCTTACCTTCCTCTTCCATTATAAGCACCTTGATGTTGATTGGAGTACAAAATACGTACAATTTCTTTTAGTTCAGAAATTTGTATCGGTACAAAAACTTTGTTTGGAAAGTGGTGCAAGAGAGAGGGAAAGAAAGTAATATGGAATAAGATGGTTGATGTGATAGAAAATTATAAAAAAATAAATTCTTTCAAAATATTGTATACTTTATTCTCTGGTCACTGATTATTGCATCTATAGCCTACCATTTTTTTTCCTAAAATTCTATTTCAAAAACATGTCCGGATAATATTTACTCTATTATATGCACATAGTTAATATTTTTATATGTTTAAATTTATCATAAATTTTGTGATATAACAAATTATATTATAATTAAAACATAATTTTTAAATGAAATTTTTAGCATATAAACTTATTCATATATATATATATATATAGAATAAGCTATTATCCTTTGAATGCACAATTTGAATATTACTCGTGTTTTATATTGAGATACAAAGTATTTTTTATTATCGATAATTCCGTCATCTATTTTTTGAAATTTAATTTAAAAGCAAATATGAATGGGCAGATTGTAAAATATAATAGGTTTAAAAAAATGAAATATATGTATAAAATAAAAAAGAGAGTGAGTTGCGAAAGAAGCTTTTAGACTTGTTATATTTTAAATTAAAATCGAAATAAAAATTAAAAAAATGCAATTGAAACAAAAAAATATAAATAAATGCTCAATTCATGTGATTAAGATAAGGCAATGGTTGAATGATGACAATTCATGAAAATACGTTGTTCAATAATAATGTCTAAAAATATTTCCCTTCAAGAAAAAAAAAATCAAATTAAAGCATAGAAGTAAATAAATAATTGTCACTGCATAAACTGAATATGTAACAAACTTCTCACTTAATTGAGATTAATATTTTTTTTTATCTCTTTATCTGTAAGTGATTAACTTCTGAATTGAAGGTCATAATTAGGTTAAACCTCTCAAAATTTCTAACATTATGAGTGAAATTCATCTAAAAATAATAATGAAAAATAGAGGAGATATAATATGTATTGTGAACGAATAATAAAAATAAAAGAATTGAAGAAACTTCTCTTTTTATTTGAATAAGTGGAAGAGAGAATAAAAATAAATAGTTTGAAAAAGAAGACTAATTAAAAAAATAAATTTAATCCGAAAGTAAAATTCCAGTTTATTATTTTTGCCATCGTTATTATCTTTTAAATTATAAGATATTATAAAATTTATTTAATTTCTAAAATGTTAAAATGAAAAAGGTAAAGAAAAGATATATTCTCTCCTTCCCCATTTCATGCCAATTAGAAAGTGATAGGGAAGGGGGAGTCTTGTGAGTTCCACTGGTTTTTTTTATCCAAAATTTAATATTATATTTAGTCTTTTCCCACCTCCTATTTTTCCTTTTTTTTTTTTTTTTTTTTTTAAAAAGGGGGGTTTCAATAGCTTTTAGTAAGTAAGGTGGAATTTCAAATGTACAAGAAATAATAAGATTAATTTTAAAACACAATTCTTCAGAAGTTTGAGTAATCTAATTAATGTTAATACAATATAAAGAGGTGGAGAACCTAATTATCTGGTATTAAAATTATAGAAAAGGTTGTGGATAAGACAACTAACAAAGATAGAGATAATTTGTTTCTATCTCTTCCCAGCACATTTGTCATGTGAGGATCCAAAATTCAAAATCCGAAATCTAACATACGCATGTTATGAAGATAACCTATAAGTATGCAAACTTTAAGTGACTAAATACCATGAATATGCATGTGAACTTCTTTATTGTTAAAAAGAAAGAAAGAAGAGAGAATCTGTGCTCTTTTTACAAATGTTTGTGCCTTGCAGAGTGTCTTTCTAATTTCTCATAAACGACAAATCATTGGGTAAACAGATATTTTTGTTGAAAAGAAAAAGGAAAAACCAAATTTTTGGGCTTTTAATTACAATGATGTTTTGTTAGGTTCATGAATCGGAACATTCCCATATATACTTTGTTGAGGTGGGAGATGGTGGGGAAACCTTGGCATCAAAGCTAGAGGCCCATTGTCATTGCCAATAATTAAAATTTTCTTAAGGGGAATTTAGGTTAACATGTTAAGAAGTAGCAGCACTGAAACAAGGAGTAACAAGTAACACTGCATGGCAACTGACATGTTCCTGTTTAGCATCAGACGTAAGGAAAATAGCCAAAGTTAAATACTAGATTTATTTTTCTTCCTTGTAAAAAAATATAGAAAATAAAGAAGAAATTAAACAGTAGTGTCAAAAACACGAATAATTCCGTACTAGGAAATTTAACTGAGTATTCAGTTCATGTCATTGAAGGCTTCACTGTGCATCCATGATCAGTTATAGCTCTGTGTCTCTGGTAACAACTCACACACGATGTCGTGTCACAATTCACAAATCTGTTTCATGGTATACTCAATGGGTTTCGTGTGCCCGTGTTCAAATTTTCACTATTTCCCTGAACCCTGTGAAAAAAATAAACAGACAGAAATGGAGATACATTGGTGCATTGTTACCAATTATATATTTAGTACCATCACACACATTAGGTAGCTCTTCATGATGAATATACTAATGATATCCATTTTATACGAAGATGCACAGAAATGCCATGCGTCCGTGTCTCCCTGAATTAATCTGATTTTTGGTGGTCCTACTTCTGAGCACAACTTGTGGCATTCCCTTAAGCTAAACGCTCCAAGTGTATGAAAACATGTGCCTTATATTTGGTAAAGGTTCTCCGTTTTATCTTACACAATAGCAATACTATAATTAATCCTTCTCTCTAGGCTAACAATCACACATCTAGATTCTGCCATGCCCAGAAGCTTATTCGGGTGAAAATTCAATTGATTTTCAGATTCGGATGCTAAATTGGGTCTCTTTAGCTCTTTACAACAATGCAGTCTGCAACACAGACAGTGATCTAGACAAAGTTTGTGACCATGTGACGTGAGCTTGTAAAACTGTAAGTGGGATAAATTTAGTTTAATTAAATTAATAATTACCCAAGATTTCAGCACCAACTTGGGTTTTTAGAGAGAAAGAGACAGGCAGCCAGAGGAGGGTGAAAGAGAAAACGATAGAGAGAGAGAGGGAGGGGGGATTGAAAATCAATAGGCCAAATGATGTCAGGAGAGAGGAGTGGTTAAAAAAATGATGTCACGTAGTGACAAAGGTTAACCTTTTTCACAGAAATGTAGGAGAAGACGTGGATTCACTAAACTAAAAGGGCAACAGGAAGAACTATCATCATTAATGATAAAAAGGAAAGGTGGGGAATCTTCTCTGCAAGCATTACCTTTTTTTTTTCACCCTTTGATTGAATGAATCAGATTTTTAGAGGTAAATTAGTTAATGGAAAAGTTCACCTAATTCTACAGACAACTAGGAAACATTAAATTTTTCTTCTTTTTTATCTAAAACAATTTAATTTTCTACAGCCCCTCACCTTGCATGGCTCAAACGTGTAGCATCAGATTTAATATTCTTTTTTAAAACAGGAGCGGTAAATTGGGATAAAGTGAGCATTTTGCAATTCTTTCCGTAAAAGAAATTATACAGAGAGAAAACAATTTGACCGGATCAAGTTACAGAATTATGCAGCAGCAAAGCTATAAATTCAGGTAAAGTGAATCTTACACATAAAAAAGCTATAAAATGTGTAGATTAAGAGATTACTAAGCACATCGGACCGAAAAGTGCTGCGGAGAAAGAGATCACATGAATTGTATGCACATCAACATCACATAACATAATTAAGAAGAAAAACAGTGGTTATGAAGTTACCGTGGATGAAAAGATAAGGATGAGAGAATTGAAGAGGAAGATGGTCCTGTGAATCCTTCGAGTGGGGAGAATTATGAAAGGAAAAAGCCTGAATTGCCATATTCTCCCACAGCTTTCTTGAGCTTCTAGGGCTTAAAATCCAGGAGGTGGAGAGATATAAGATGCATAAGAAGTTCAAGAAAGCTGTGGAAAAGCATGACCAGGACTTGAGAGAAAAATTGAGGTCAGATCTCACACCCCATCTAGGTGATGAGTTGAGTTGTGGTGGAAGCAAGAGCACCAGCAGCAAAAGTTATAATGAGAAAAAGGGTGGGGGTGGGGGGGTAGTGGAGATATAGGGAAGCTAGGAGGATTTAGCACAAGAAAGTAAAGGAGGGTGTGGGGGGTGAGAAGTGAGAAGTGAGAAATAACCATGCCCATACAAAGTTATCGTGGACCACTCTACCATTTATAATATGAATCTACCAGCTTTATAGAGAGGAGAGGAAGGTATGAAAGAGAGAGGGGAGAGAGTTGGAGGGGTGAGAGTAGGGTTCACTCACTAGTGCAGAATATGGCTTTTACGTCACCCAATTGTCGTCGCATGCACGTATATTCGACGTAAATAAAACGCGGTGGCAATTTTGTAAATACGGGACAAAAAATTTACGTCGCACACCCCAATATGAGACGTAAAAAGTCATCTTTTACGTCGCACGCTGGAGGCGCGACGTAAAGATGGCTTTTACGTCGCGTACTGAGGGCGCGACGTAAAAGCTAAGGCTTTTTACGTTGCGTCCCCCGTACGCGACGTAAAGGCCATCTTTACGTCGCGCCTCCCGAGTGCGACGTAAAGATGACTTTTTACGTCGCTTACTACACTGCGCGACGTAAAAAGTCTATTTTATTTCCCTCCCAGCCCACTTCCTCCTCTCGCGCAACCAGGGTTTTTTAGAACGACGACGAGAACGACGACAACGACTACCTCTGCACACCATTTGCGAGCGGCTTTACGGTGAAAAACATCTACATTGTCGTGTCATTTGACGAACTTCATCTTTCTCCCGATTGGATTCGAGTTTGAAATCGGTTTTCGTCTACACTCGAGGTTAGTGTTCATTGTCATTGCTATATGTTTACATTGAATCCAGTGATTGTTTTTGGGGATCTCAATCACGTTATAGTATGAATGTCTCCACTTGGATTGTTATTGGAATGCGGTTATTTGTTTATTTGTTTGAGTGCATTCGGTTTACACACTCCATTGTTGTTGGAACGTGCTTTGTTGTTTGTATATTAATTTTTTTTACATATAATTTTTAAATCTTTAGGAGTGACGAAACTTTATAACATAATATGAATCGAAGTTGGATGAATGCACGTCGTATTAGTGAAGAGTACGAAAAGGGAGTTGAGGAATTTCGAAATTTGCTAGTGAAAATGGAAAAGCTATGAAAGGGACATATTATTGTCCATGTGTTCGTTGTTTGAATCAAATTCGTCATAAACTTGAGGATATACGTGATCACTTGTTTGTTTATGGTATTATTAAGAGTTATACAATATGGACATGGCATGGAGAAATATTAGACATCCCAATCGTGTCAACTACGGACAATTTTGATGAAGGGATGGATGATAATCTAGAGGATATGATACGTGATATTGGTGAAGAACATTTTATGAAAGCACATCTATATGATTCTTTGAAATCCGATTTTGCGCAACAATTGTACATAGGATGTAGTTTTACAAGATTATCAGCAACTTTAAAATTGTTTACTTTAAAAGCAAGAAATGGATGGACTGATAAAAGTTTCACCGAATTATTGGAGTTGTTGAAGGAGATGCTTCCTGAAGATAATACATTACCTATTCGTAACTATGAGGCAAAGAAGATATTATGTCCAATGGGTTTAGAGTACAAGAAAATACATGCATGTCCTAATGATTGTATATTGTACGAAATGATTTTGCTAAATTAAAGATGTGTCCGACATGTGGTTTGTCGAGGTTCAAAACCAAAGTTGAGGAAAGTAGTGGTGAGGAAGAACTAGATGGTCCCCTGCTAAGGTGTTATGGTATTTGCCAATTATACCTAGGTTTAAAAGATTATTTGCCATAAAAGAAGATGCAAGAAACTTGACATGGCATGCAAATGGTAGAAAATGTGACAATCTTCTTCGACATCCAGTTGATTCTCCACAATGGAAAAGGATTGATGAAACCTTTCCAGAATTTGGTGCAGAGCCAAGAAACTTGAGAATTGGATTAGCTACGAGATGGGATGAATCCTTATGGAAATTTAAGTAGTAAACATAGTTCATGGCCGATTATGTTGATCATTTACAATTTGCCTCCTTGGTTATGCATGAAGAGAAAATATATGATGTTATCTATGATGATTTCGGGACCTCGACAACCAGGAAATGACATAGATGTATATCTTAGTCCTTTAATTGATGATTTGAAGATGTTGTGGGAAATTATGTCGGATACTAATGGGATGTTAGAGTGTTTGGAATTGACAATTCCGAGTGTTCCATTGTACATTTCCTTGCCCGATGCTTTAGAAATTGCTTGGGGAAATTGCATGTTAAACATTTCCATCATACAATTGTGGGCAATGTAAGTCATTTTCATTTATGTTTCTAAGATTATAATAATTATATTCAACTTATAATTAATTGTTTTAGGTACCTTGACAATTTGAGTGTGGAACAAGAAAAATCCGAAGTATACTGGATTTATTGAGCCTCAATCCATCCAAAAATCCGGAAATACAAAGGTTGGAATCCAACAATATATGCAAACATGGATGAGTGACTCAAGAAGACATATATATTTGGCTCCATACATTGAAGGGTTAGTATTTTAATTTGTATTTTAATTTATATTTTTGTAACTAATTTTTATGTCATACAATGTAGGTCCCATTGGCGAGTTAATTGTAATCATACCCAGGATTACACTTGTGGTATGGTTTTGTTCATTACATCGGAAACCGAGTCAAGAAATGAAAAGCTTATTACAAGGGTAACTTTATCTTTTATTCATTAATTATGTTTTTAAATTGTGAATACATATTGAATAATATATGACTTTTTTCACTTAGAATCGTATGCGAACTAATGTTCTAAGTGGAAAACCTAGAACAAAGACATTATGAGTTCATTTATCCTAAGGTTAGAAACTTATTTATATAAGTGAATACCATAATTATTGTTTATATTTCAATTTTGAAAATAATATTATGTTTTTTTCATCATTTCGGTGTAATAAGCAAACTGACTCGTTTGAATGTGGTTACTTATGTAATGTATTGGATGAGAGCCATAGTTTGTGCGGGTTTAATTGATTCTTGGACGGAGGTAATTACTTTTAACATTAGTTAAGTTTATTTAACTTTATTCATGTTGCATGCTTACAAGAGTCAAATTCATGTTTCGAGTATTTCAAGATCCATCTCCATTACTGGAATCCGAGATTACGAAATTAGAGAACAATGGGCAAAATTTTTTGTTCTACAATTCTAGTACATTATTTTTTATGTTCTTGTTCATATTATATTGTGTGTATTATGTAGTTTAGTTTAGTTTGTATAGGTAGCTTAGTTTGTATAGGTAGCTTAGTTTGTATAGGTAGCTTAGTTTGTATAGGTAGCTTAGTTTGTAATAGATTTTTTAGTTTGTATGTTTGTATTATTTTGTTTTATTATGTAGTTTGAATTATATAATATTATATTTTTAATTTACTAGCAAAAGAAAACTGCTTCTGATCTGTCTGGTTGTAATTTTTGCGAGGTTTTAGTTGTAAAAGCGAGTAAATAAACCCAATTTTAAAAAAAAGCAGTAAATTTACGTCGCATATTGGTATATACGACGTAAATTTACGTCGCATATACCAATATGCGACGTAAATTTACGTCGCATATACCATATGCGACGTAAATTTACGTCGCATATGGTATATGCGACGTAAATTTACGTCGCATATTGGTATATGCTGACGTAAATTTACGTCGTATATCTGTATGCGGCGTAAATTTACGTCGCATATGGTATATCGCGACGTAAATTTACGTCATATATCTTGTATGCGACGTAAATTTACGTCGTATATACTGTATGCGACGTAAATTTTCTGTTTTTTTTTTTTAAATTGAAAAGGTTTTTACGTCTGTTTATTGTATATGCCACGCAAAATTACGTCGTATCTTCATAACTGACGTAAATCTACGTCGGGTAAAAGGGTCCGACGTAAATTTACGTCTCCCGCTTTTACGTCGGACTTAAATACGACGTAAAAAGCCCTAAATACCTGACGTAAAAGCCCCTTTTTGCACTAGTGACTTCACTTACAAAGGTGCAATTTACCCACAAAATGGCTTACTTTCCCGGTGAGTGCGCAGTGGGTCACATACAAACACGTCAGATGGGTAAAGAACAATAATCTTTCCAAAAAAGACAAATCAAGAAAAGAAATGTAATTGACAGCCAAATGAGATTTTAAGCAACAAAAGAAACAAAGAAAAAGAAAATATAGACCTTGTGATTTCAAAACCCTTCCCATTCCCCCCTCCCCCTCCTCACATGCTACCATGTGACCAGGATCTTTTTTTATTTATTTTCTCTAGATTTCAAGTATGGGTTGTTTATGGTCCCCAACTTTGTATACCTATTAATTTGCCTTTCCTTCCATTTTCTACATAACATCAATCATTCTGCTGTAATGCAGATGTTTTACAAGTAATTTGGCAATGGCAATGGCATTGGCATATGAAGGTGGCCAAGGAGAAAAAAAAAATGATTTTCAAGTGTTAACCAGAGAAAAGGCATAAAAAGAAGTAGAGCTAAAGATTGTTTCCATATAGAGGGGCTTTCTATTTTTACACTTGTATGAGTATAAATCCTGGAGCTATTCCAGCTATGCGCTACACATCTACAACTAGCTCCTTACACAAATCAAGGTGTACTGCACTACAAAGTGGTTGAGTTTTTAATGCCAAATGTTGGCTCAAATTTAAAAATGCGCCCACTTTTATCTGCACTTTTCCTACTTGAGATGCATCAAAAAATTAATATGTCTAAAGTGTGTCCACCACTAATTCACCTATTTAATAACCTTCGTATTTTTGGCATTTTAGTATGTTTATCGCCATTTTCTTTTTATTTTCTCCAACATAACCAATTTCTCATCTTTTTATTTCAATCTGCCTCTGCCTCTGCCTCCATTCATATTTTCTTAATTTTCCATTCCTTTACCTTATTTTTTATTAATTTTTTAATCCCCATAGACCATTTCATTTGTTGACAACAAAAGAATATAAGGGCCGATATTCTTTTGTTAACAGAACTAG